AACATGTTATGTTTGTATCAGGGTGACGGTAGAAGCCTTTGTCTGCTAGAAAAAGCCCAATTTGTCTTTTAGCTAATTTTTCAGTTTTTGTAATTAGGATATTCCTTCTGCTTTCACCATTGGGTGGCTATTGAAGGGAAATAGAGCAATTAGGATGGCCTCACATCTTTATCATTGGCTCTACAGTTTTCCAGAAGTAGTAGGTTTTTGGAATTATGTAATGTCCTCTACCAATGACCATGTATGAATGTTATTACATTTCCTTGTGTGACAATGTACTATTGTCTGGCAGTGCTGAGAGTCATGTAGCACACGATAAGAAATAAAGGAGCATTCTGTGCATACTTAGATCTTTACATTTTTATTTTAAAACATAGAATTTCATATTGGTTAACACCTACTTTTAAACAGAATGATGCATTAATTAAATGCCTTGTCATAACTGTTATAAGCTCTGTTATAAAAATAAACATCTCACAACAAACTACAGTGTCAGCTCTTTAATAAATACATAAACCAAAGTTAGTAGTCAATCAGAATTATATGAACAGGCTCATAGTATACAATGTGAAATTATCGTATTCCCCAATCTTCTGTGTCATTTAAGGCAATTTAAATTTATGTATAATTCAAAGCCAGAAATAATAAGAAACTTGCTTAATGAGAAATAGTTTCTTTCTTAGAACTATTTTATATTCAAATATTTTAATTTAAAAATACACTCTATATTAAAAATTTTTTTTTTTACAAAGGCAGGACTTAAATGAAACACATAGGTTATATTACTGAAATTTAAAAACATTTCTACTTTTTTTGCAGACATTTAAAAAACTTTAATGAAGTAGCTGGTAAATGTAAAATGATTTTAAAATTATGTTAAATATACACCAAATGAATTTCTATATTAATATGTGCAAATTTATATTTTATTTTAATTTAGAATTAAAATATTTTATATTCAATATTAATAAAATCTATGTGCCATACTTATTGTGTGGAATTGTTATCAAAATCACATTTATCTGTTGTACAGTGTAAAGTTATTAAAGATTTTTTACACAAGTCATACAATTTCCATCCTTGATGACTGCAGTGTTTTGGATTTTTTTATTGTTGGATTAGATGATTTTAAGTGAAATAGGTTATGGAGGTTAGAAACCTGATTAATAGAGTTACCTTACAAAGGTAAATTTTTGTGGGAAGGTAATCCAGGTAGATAAAAGAGTAGTGTCATTACTCTCAGATATTTCATTAACAGCTGCCCAGATAGCTGAACAATTGTTTCATATAAGTCAAATAATTTAAATATGCAGTTTTATGACAGTTGTTACATGGGCTTAAGGTGAATTTATCAGAGCCAAAGAAAAAAGTCAAACAAAAGAACAGAAATGATAAAGAATAAAAATGTAAGAGAACTTGAAGGGAAAGTTTTCCTACAACACTGATTGGTTATATCATATTTTTCTCCTGTCATTGACATATAACATACAAGATGCTGCAAAACCTAAATATGCAAAATCTAAATCTAAATATGATGGTTTTATGTAATATTTTTCCAGTTAATTCTGTCTAAAAGTGAGATGATCATATGCAAGTATTCTTTAGGAAGTAATAGAAAGAATAAAAATTTGTTAACAAACCTGGGAGAAACTCACTCATTCTTGTCCGTTAGGTTAGGGTTCACTGAAATTGTAGCCACTAGCATAAAGCATAACTAGGAGGCTGAAAGAGCTTTTATAACCTAAAGGTCTACAGGATTTGAGCTCATAATCAGATGGTTAGGCTCCATGTTGAGTTGTATGTGATCCAGATGTGCTGAAAACTGACTTCACATGTTATCATAAATGTGTTATTAAATATTTATACAAAAATGAATGTCCCTATACCCATGAACATTTGGTTAAAGATAAATTAATATAATGTTTATTTAAGCAAAACTTCAAACACTGCATCTAAGAGGTCAACAACTGTAAGATACATTTTAGAGATGTTAAATTAAAAAGTGGATGTCTTAGAATTAATGAAATATGAACATGTATAATTAGTTACCCATAATAAATTTACCATTGAGGAATTATAAGAGAAAAGGGAAATGATCTGAAAGAATGCTAGTTTTATATTTCTTTCAAAATATATCTCAGTTTGCATTGCATGAAGTGGAGTTCTTAAGGTCGATATAAATAAGGATAGTTGTAAATTAAATGTTAAGAGTAAATAAAACAATATAATAGGCACATGATTGAACTCCCAAGTGGTTGTATTTCACTTGATACTTTTATTAAAATATATAGATCTCAAATCCTTTAAAATTGAAAGAAGTCGAACAGTTGTAAAAAATTAAAATTCTTCGTTTTTAATGGGTCTTTGTTCAGGTGCATAGATTCAAATAACTTTTAAAATCATTAAGAGATGTATGGAAATGAAGAACTTCATTATACCATTACAGTCAGTTATTTTTCACAATTAGGCTTATTGAGCTTGAAGTTTTGGGGCACTCTCTTAGGAAAAATGAATAGAAAAGAATAGGAGTAAGGAAAGGAAGGAAAAGCCATTGAGTTTAACTTACTATATCAGGTACCAGGAGGAACATAATTCTGAGGAGAAAAATTTTCATAGTCCATCATAATCATATTTCAACATCTTATAGATGCCCATTGTCATACATAAGAATATCTTCAATAGATATTAAGTGTATATTAAAAAGTTTTGAAATTTATTCTTTAGTGAAGTGTTGCATCTGATGCATCCACTAATTTTAATTTTGAATTTTGAAAAATTTGCCTCCAGAGAAATCTATTCTGTTTAACCTTAGATTTTTTTTTTAATCTTTATAAACCAAAGCTAAATTAAACATTTAGGACATAATCAGAGTTTTAGTGAATTTCTCAGTCTTTCAGAGAATGTCTGAGACTTCATACATATTAATAAATTTCAAAAAAAAGATATCAAATGCTTATAAATGCATGTACACTGCAGTGTAAAGATCTCCCCAGAGAAGTAAAATGCATACAGTTATATTGTAATGCATATATGGCACATTTCTAAATCATGAAATACTTTAGGGCACAGAAATGCTGTCGTACCAAAAGTGTTGTTGAAGTTCTTAACTTTGTTAATCATTTAAAGTTTCATAACTCGTGTTTAATATCAGTGAATCTCAAAAGGCTCCTGTGTTCATATTAGTTGAAAATAGGCTTTATTTACATAAATTATTTGATCTAAGAATACCCTGTTTTCCCTTAACTTTTAATTAATTCTGGCTAGTCAAATATTAATTCTTTTCTCACAAGGAAAATGTCAATTATTCAAGTAAATATAAGCTCTAAAATCTTTTAAGAATTAGACCTTTAAGTAAAAAAGGAAAGCACAAGACATCACAAGCATAACTGCAGTCATCATCTAGCATTGAACTGCCTATCAGAAAGTTTGTCCCTTCCTATGAGAAGAGCCTTGTTCCATTATAAATTAGTGCAAACTAGTGAGAGTGTCAAAATATATATCCCTTTATTTTAAGAATTTCATTTTATTATGCTATTTTGGATAACTCAGCCCACATAGAAATTAGCTTATGGACATCATAATGTTTTAAAATTTTAAAATGTTTTAAAATTTTCAGCATTTCAGTGAATGGATATTTTCCACTTTTTCCTTTTTGGGGGCTGTCAAATATCCATTTATTTTCTTTTTTAAAAAGGATGCTGTGACAGGCATGCTTCAAAAAGAAGTTTTGCATTATCCTTGGTGATCAAAGGTATTTTACAATAGTGAGTCACAGTACTGAATTATGTCAATGCTGCTGATTTCTCATTTGGGGAAAGACATACAGTTCAACCTAGCATCATAATTGCTTGGCTGCAGGGGACAGCTGATGGAGTTATTGTGTTTGTTGGCTGCAGAACAACTTCTTATATGTTTTTAAATCCTCTTTAGGGTAGAATATGGAGTGGGATGTAGTCTTCATCGAAATGCAGATATCTGGCACTTTAACTCAAGTGCTGGAAGACAGAAAGTCTGGGAGGCTGATTATAAGAAGACATTTTAAAGGAATTTAAAATAAATTCCTTAGTTGTCACAGGCAAAGCTCTGTACTGCATACAGGTCTGTTGCACTTCTAGCCAATAAAATCAGACTGAATAAGTGTGTAAGGATATGGTAATTGTGATGAAGTTCCTGTTGGGGAGGATAAAAGTTCATGGCCTCTGTCTGTATCAAGCTCTCTGGCTGAGCACGGAGCACTGCACAACTCCAGGGGGCGCTGTTCACACAGGCTATGGTGTGAATGGACTTCCCTCTAGTTAGGCTATTTTGCAGTCTCTTAGAAGCTGATTAGCAGATAGACTGGAAGCCAACCATGGACAATTCTGTTTGAATTAATTTTTTATGCTTTGTTTTGAAATTTTCTTATACTTAAGACTTCAGTAAATCACATCTAAAATTACTTGCCAATTGATTATTTTAAAGATTCAAGAGGTAGTATGACATTGTTCAGTGAACACTGGCCTGACAATAAGAAAATAGTTCTCTTTGAATGTTGCCACTTGGTCACTTAGGGGTTTTTGAGAAATCATTTAAACTTGCTGAGCCTCAGTTCTCTGACTAAGTACAAGAGTGAATTAGCTTATTTCTAAGATATTGTCTATCCTCCTCCAATTGTGTACTTTTAGAATTCTGGTGAGTAGGGTTGTGGTGATTCAAAGAAAGAATGTCCTTAGACTGCATTGAAGGGCAAAAATAATATAGCTTAATTTAGCTTTTAATTTGAAAAATGCTACTATCTACTTGGAATAAATATTGGAGAAGACTCAAAAGTGTGGCACTTTGCTTAGAAACTTTGCAGAGTTTCTAAATATCTCGTGAACTTCATTCAACCTGATGATTAGACAAATGAAATGGTGAAATAATCCATCCAGTTTACCAGGTAAGAAGATATAAAACTCCACATCTGCACACAACGAAGCTGTTCAAATTTTGATATTACTTGAAGTATCCCTTATTAAATGTTCGGCTTTTAAAAGTATTCTAATAAAGTGACATTGTATTATTATTAGGTTTTATGGCAGTAGTAACTTAGCACTTATTTAATCCAGTCATCTGTGACATTATATAAACTTATCCTGTAAGAAAGAAAACTAAAATATAAAGGCAAAGAGGAAAGAATGTTAGAATTAATATCCATCTTGTAAAAGAAGAAAACAAACACACATGCATGAAACTAGTTTCAAAAGCAATATCCCTCAAGATTAAGGTTTTATCTGTTCATCTCTTGAATGAGTGAAACACTAATCATTTACTCATCTATCTGTTCTTGTCTATTCACTGCCAATTGTTAAAGTGTTTGGCAACATTAGTATAACTGCCGTATTATTTTTTCATCTGCATGTTTGGTGCAGGGATTACTGTACTCTTGTAGTGACACAATGCCAAAACTATCTCACAGCATTGTCTCTCTGGGAAGTGTAGAAATGGCGGGTATCTGTAAAGTGTAATCAGTGCTCTTCAGTTGATCTACATTCTATGCTGATCTAAATAAGTTATATATTACAGTAAAGTGCTACAATGATACTAGTATCAAACAGTAGTAAGACACATTTTCCTCTGAAGAATTCAGCAGCAGTGTGAGTCACATGATGATGAGGTTGCTTGTCAGTCTTCATTCGAGTGGACAACCAGCAACTGGCATGATCTAGAAAATTTATCTCCTCCTGTGACTTATAAAATTATTATTTTATAATAATAATTTTTAGGAGCGATCATTAAAAATCCAGTTTCCCATAAAGTACTTTTTTATCTTTTTAGAAGTTGCACCTGAAAGTTTCATGCGTGTTTAATTTGCTAATGTCCATTTTTATTTCTTCAGGTTTCTCACGTCGGTAGGTTACTGCTCTTGTGCAAACGCCTTGCAGAATCAACTTGTCCTTGATGGAGAAGAAATATTATCATTAATTAAGTGCCTAAATATTGAAAGTAGACAAAAACATACTGAAAGTATTTATTTTTTAGATTTCACTGACCTTTTTTGAGGCTGACACCCTGTAATCTGCTGAGGACTTAATTTTATTACTATTCCATTGTAGTATCACCTGTCTAATAATAAGGACTTTAAGCAACCCAATCAAGAATGTAACTATGAAGATGATGAAAAATATCCTCAAGTAGCTTGGGCTAGAGAAACATTCTGTAAAGAAGCAAACGAATTAATGGTTTAAAAAACTGGAATGAGTAAATCACAGGGTTCTAACAATAATGTTAGAAGTAAATAATGTTCATCATCTCAGTAGGATCAGAGATATTTGCAAATCTACATTTTCAAAATAGAGGACTGCCATTATTGTTGATTCAAGAAGTAAACTAATTATTATTACACATTTATTATTCAAATATTTTCAACAGAAAACTCTCCTTTGGAGAATAGCCACAATTAAGGTATTCAATAAGATTATTTCTTTGCAGCTTGATTCTTTATTTGTACTAACTGGAATATGTCCAAATCCCTTAACCAAATATAATTTTATCCATGACAGAGAGGGACAGTATTTTGGTGTGGTGTGGATCACTAAGTGGAAAATAGGATTTAAAAAATTATTTAACAGCTCCGTGCATTAACGTATGTTTTTCTTGTTATGCTTACTCCTCATTTGTTACACATCAGTAATGGAAAATAAAGTAAACATCTGCAGAAGCTAAAATCAGTACTACTCTAATAGATGAATAAATATTTCCTTTGAAACTGCAGTGTAAGTTTTCATTATTATTACACATAGCTTCTCCAGGAAATGGGAGTGTATAATTTGGGACAATACCCAAATCTCTTTCCTCAATTGTTATTAATTTATTTTTTACTTGTCTGTTAACCAAATCTATCCTATTTTGCTTCTAAAAATTCCGCTTTTTTTTTTTTTCAAGAACAGATAATTACTAGCTGGAAAAGGAAATGCTACATTAAGAGGAGGGGCATTCTAGGTCTCTGTTTTAGCCCTAGACCTTTGGCAAACTCTAGTTGGAAATTCTGCAGGCTCTGTGGCTGCCAAAGGTATTACCCTAATCTAAGAGGAACATGGTTGCATAATACACAAGTACTCCACAGAACTCACCAGCTGCCCCACACTCACAAAATTACCTCCTGGCCTAAAGAAGCATGTGTTTTCCGTGTATCCTCCAGACTTTGGGGACTTCACCTAACTGTCTGAAGGTCTCCTTGAGAATGCCTTTTGGGAGGGGACCTGACAAAGGCTTAGAAGAACAGTCAGTCATGAGTGATTTGTGTCTGAAATCCCAGGGATGACCAAGCATTGCTCTTGAATACACCAAGAATTCAGTAACAAGGGCAGGGGCTCTTCTCTAAGTGGGAAGACTTAGAGTCCAGTTTTCTCTTGGTCATAGTGATAAGGTTCCTTGAAAGAAATGCTAAAAGGAGGCTGGAGGACTACTAACTGGAATAGAAGCACCAGATGCAAGTGCAAGTCTCCCTTTGTTATGGTCTCACACGCAGAGAGAATCCAAGATGTTCTGTTCAAAAGTGGTACCCTTGGTGGTGCCCAGGTTTGTGACATGCATACCTTTCATCTCCCTTGGCTGACTTAGAATACTTAATCAGCTAAGGTGGCACGTGGCTTGATCTCACTTAATGGCTTCTTGCCTAGAAGGAGCTTAGCCAGAAAGACCAAAAGAACACCCTTTAAGTGTGATCAAGTGGATAGATAATAGAGGTGGCTAACAAATGCCCTTTCCCTCTCCTTGCACAATAGTTGTGAAGGGGGGGTAGCCCCCTAGCTACTAATACATTTTACAAATATTTCTAATGGGTTAGGATGGAGGACATTTTTGGGGCTCAAATCTGCATGCATTTTTAAATTTTAAAATTTGGAGAGCCAAAAATTTAGCCCTGGCCATGCCTCTTTTCTTAGTTTAGGTCAAGCAAGGGCTTTTCCTAAGGAGCTTTAAGGGGATAGTTTTTGTAACCACACTTAGGTCAGAATAGGTTTGTTTCCTTAACATAATAAATTACATGTTGACATAAGAGCTCTATTTATTAGAAAAGGCACTTGGCTTTGGGGTGTGATTGCTGCAGCCCCAGCTGGCAGCACATGGGCTCTTTTCAAAGCCAAATTTATTATGGGCTAAGATTAGTGTGGATGTGAGGGGAGAGGGAAACAAAACTCTGGAGAAAGTTTATTCTCCTGTGCAATCTCTCTAAGACCTGGAATTATTCTTACAGGTTAGAGGAAAGACTAGCAGTAGGAACATTTTCAATGAATAAATAATTTCAAGCTTCATTTCTAATTCTTATATAGTTTAACACCTTAAACCTGAACAAAATTGGGGTGCTGGCTTTTGAGTTCTAATGAACTTTTGTCCAAAATGATCTTTGAACACAGCTTTCACATGCTTCTTCCATTCATATATCATCTTTTAACTGAAAAAGTTTTTTCATGTTCACTGGCTCATTTAATCCACACAGCTCTTTGAGGTTGGTATTATTATCCCCATTTTACAGATGAGGAAACTGAGGCTCAGTGAAATTTTGTAAGAGGGCTGATATTTCTTAGCTACTAGTGTCAGGAGACATGCCTTAAGCTAAGGTCTTCAGACTAAAATTTCCATACCCTTTCCATTGTGCCATCTTTATATTCATTCACCCCTAAATTATATTTATATCAGAATGAAAATTATCAGGGAAGAATGGCCCTTTTGAAATTATGTACTTTGCAAAATTAAATCATTGCTACTTAGAAATTTTGGGCGTCACCTGAAACATGAAAGTAAATGTTCGTTTGACATGAGGAAGGTTATAACTGGAAACAAGTTTGGATTGTGAAGGATAATGATGGCTCCATAGACCTTGTCTCTAAGGGTGAAATGGACTCTACCTAGGAAACTCCTATTCTTGGCTCACTGAGGTCTCTCTAGAAAATCTGTTTGGTATACTTCCATGGAGGTGCATAGCATGTAAATTTAGCTGGGTAGTTGAGATGGTAGTTTAATTGTTAGGTGGGAGATCTAGCAATTCAGCCATACCGTGGCAAATATCCTCAGCTGGTTTTATAGAGCACTATTTCTTGGAGGTTGAAAACACTGAAGCAGTTAATTCTTTCTTTAGGATGGTTGATTATGAGCCTTTTTGGGGAATATGATTCTCTGCAGATACTCTTCAGTACTTTGATTATTAACCTTTTGTTTACCTGATGTTTGGTCCACATAATGCTGTTCCTTGAGAGTACATGAGGTTTTACACCGATCAAGTATAGCTTGAGACAGATTGTGAGGGTGAAGGCATTGCACACAATTCCTGTAAGGGGAAACAGAAGTGAAAACATTTAGTTTTTTAAAAGGTTGTAGCCTGTAGTATTTTCTGTAAAAAATAAAATAGGGTACTGCTTTAGGACAGCAGAATTGTAAAACTGGGAAAGAAAACTATGACATTTATTTGTAATCTTGGCTGAATTTAATACCATGGCAAAGTTACATTCTAACCACTTAAAATATTTTAATGTATAAAATCAACATGATTTTTCTGTACTGAGAAGAAGATCTCTAGGAAATGAATAAGATACTCTCGCTGCAAAATCAAAAACAAAACCAGCTAGCACAGATGCTTTAGAAGATGAATATTATGATACTACTAGGAAAATTTAGCAATGAACATACAGTTCAAATTTTGGTTGGGTTCATTAGAAATACCTCCATCACTCCATCGTTATCTTCCTAGTGTGTTACATAACCTACAATGCATAATTTAAAAAATTTTACTTGAGAATGTCTTTTTAAAAATTGAATAAAACAAATTGTAAGGCACAGTGATATTCTGAGTAGTGGTCTTTGAGCAGGACTCAAATTGTTATTGGAAAATTAATTATTGGCACAAAACAACAATGCCACCATTATTTAACATCACCTTTCCCTTATCCATCACTTCTTTCTAGAGTGCTTCATAGCCACCACTCTTTATCTTTAAAAGAATAAAAATAAAACAATAATAACAGCTAACATTTATTCTATGATTACTGTGCACCAAGTACAAAGGTTTAGGTATTTTTTGCATAAACATCTAATTTAATTATTTCACAGAATTATACCACAGTATTATTATTATTCTCACTTTTAATATCACGAAACTGAGGCACAAAGAATTTTAAAAATCTTGCCCTAGATTAAACAGCTAATTAATAGTAAATTGGGAAGCAGGCAGCCCCTAAATCATCACATCGTACATCTTAAACTTACACGAGGTTATATGTCAATTATATCTCAAAAAAGCTAGGGGAAAAAAAAAACCCAATGAACCTTTATGAACACTGAATATTATTCTTTAAAAAAAAAACCTATTTCAAAAAAGGCAGTGAATACTTAGATAAATTTTCATGCATGGCCAAAGATTGGAATCTAAGTCTTCTAATTCCTAAATTCCTCATTCAGTTCTCTTTTAGTGTGATGATAACAATTTATCTGGAGAAGATCCGGCTTTTAGGTTAAGGTAGGCAAAATAGAAAAGGTCGAATATGAATATAATGAAGGACTGCTTTATGTATGTTTCGAATCAGGAAACACATACCAGTTTTCATTGCAGGCTGTGTGACATGTGGGACAATGTTCACAGAAGCGGCCGATGCTCCTGGGATCGGTGCACTCACACCTGCCACATACACATGTGCCTCTTCCACTACACACTTGGCCTTTTGGACTGACACAGTGCTGGGCGGATGCTGATGGGCACTGGCACCGATCCCCTTCCCAGCCCCTGAAGCACTGGCATTTGCCTGCCTCACACTCTCCATGCCCTGCAACAAAGACACTCCAAGACCTAAGTTATTGAGGTCACTGACTTTGTGAAGCATTTCCAAACATGAATTCCCCTTCCATTTCCATGGAAACACACTGACAGTCAAGCGAATAGAAACAGCATCACTTTCTATTTGTCTGACATAAACAATGCCAGGACTTAGGAGTGTCTGTTTTCAAAGCTATTCTATTGTAGATAATCTCCCCATGGTAATCTATTGTGCTGACGATTGTGAATTCTGCCCTGCCGCAGTGGCTGCCCAACTACTTGAAGGTCGCTGTACATTCAGTTTTAAATTAAAAAGACAAATATAAAGAAGCTACAGAGGCTGACGTAATGTCTGATTTGAAATTTGAAAAACGGGTATTTTATGAATAGCTTCCATAATTTTTCTCTTAGTCACTCATTATTGCTCAGGGCCTGGGATAACTTTGAAGGTCTATTTGGCAAACCCTTTTAAGTGCTTCAGTTCTGCTAGTGCCTTGTTTAAAGATCAGATCTCTGGGGAAGTTGAAGTAATCCTTTCACATCTTCAGCACATTATTTAGCAGGTTTGTGGGACATGTCTTAAAGTATGCTGTGAGGTGTTATTAGGTGTTAAATGAGAGAAGGCAAGAAAGAAAGCAAGGTGGTATGTGTATGCATGTTGTAGTTGAGGAAGAACACTGATTATACTCAGTTAAGTGGATTTTAGCCTGCAGGAAGTATCCAAGATTTAATATGCTAATGTGAACTAGAAATCTTCAAGAGGGTAAATTTTCAGGGCTGTAAAATGTTTTTCAAATTTATCTGGCCAAAGACTTTCCCTTCCTTCCTTCTTCCCTTCCTTTCTCCTCTTTCC